TAGAGTGAGCCTTAAAAATGCTGTAAATGTAGTTGGCAATGGGATTAGAATTCTGGTTTTTGCAGGCATATACTGTAAGGTTGTAAAGCCGTGAGTCCATTTCGACAACAATGGTGCACTGTTTTGTTTTCAATAAGTAAAAAGCATTTTGCACAAAATTGAGTATGTTGAAATTACGGTCCATTTCATTAATAGTTGCCATTATATTTTAAATAAAGCCAGGTGATGCTTGACGTTTTGCATTATTATTATTATATTCAAAGAGAAAAGGCGACAAAATTTCGGGTTGAGATGATCTGCAGAATCCTTTTTTGAAATATTATACTGTTCCTCAATTAACTTTAACAGAAAACCAAATTCCCCATAAGCTAGACACTGGAGATAAAGACATCATTAGAAAATCATGTAGTGCATTAGTCGAACTGTCGTCGCCACACCCCCACTCCATGTGCCACTCCCCGGCCCAGGACCCCCGCCCACTCCGGGGGGCAACCGCAATTGCCATTATGTTGAACACGCAAGTCAATTGATGCAATTTGTCCGACCAGCCGGAGAGGAGAGTCTTCGTTCGGTTCGGGCCAGGGGCAATTTCCCCAGTGACAATCTGACATGCCGTAACAGGTTCACGGTCTGACGAATAGTGGGTGGTGCCCTGCGGGGTGCAGGGTTACAGAACTTGGATGGGAGGGGGTGAAACCGACCGCCTGCTCTCATCAACAGTTAGCAGCTTCTGCTGGTGATTTAAGGGTTGCCAGCCAGCCGGCTCGCCCTTAAATGAATTGCGGCGATTTATTGCGGTAATACTCATTTAGCGGACCTGCCCCGGGGGGAACAAAAAATAGAAGAAAGAACACTATAACCAAGGGATCGGATCGAAGTTCTAGTTTCTCAGTACTTTCAAGGCCAATAACCACGCCTAAAAAGACATTCGATATGAGAAATTTCCCTAATTAGTATATGGTGTCTATTTCTTTGTATCATAATATTCCTTAAACAGTTTAAAAATATTATAATCATGCTGAACGTATGTATATCGAAATGTAACCTCTATCCCCATTATTTATTTTTGTACCTTTATTTTTCTTTCTTAAAGTTGATAAATAATGAAAGACGTACGCTAAAAGTACGTATACGTATTTTAAAGAACGATCGTTCTCAAATTTTTCGATCTACATTTGTCTGGGTGTACTTTAAAAACGTATCTTCCAAATTTTCAATAATTTTCTATTTAAAAAAATTAATGAATGTTTTTACAAAGATTTTAATATTTTCAAAATATTTGATAACTAATTACAACAAAAAATGTATAACTGAAATTAATTCAGATTATTTAATGATTTCTCAGTTCAATTCCAAATGTTTACCATCCCTCTGTTACATAAACCTTTTTTATCATACCCAATATCCCAGGGTATAAAACCGACTCAAGTTGAGTGCAAACAATGCACACAATAAAAATAAATCTCTCTGGAACAAGTGTGTGTTTTGTTACACCCGTGGGAAGTCCGGGTGAGAAGTTGTCAATTACTTGCGAATCGATCTGGCCAAGTTCTGTTTTGGCATTCATGTCACCACCAGGTGACCGGGACCTCCTCGAATAATCGCTCTAATTGGGCATTCGAGCGCTTTCACAGAAGACATGGCAAGAAAGTACGTGATATGCATTCCACCTTTTCAGGCAATTAATAAGCCAATTCGGAATCGGGGGCCACGTAAATCAGCATTATGTCGGGGGCAATGAAAATGAGCTCTAAATTCAATTACAGGCCTTGTCTTCTTCATTTTCCCTAGTCCTCACTCCCACATAAATCAAGAGTCCTGGCTGCCTGGTCCTCAGATGCTAATTTACGCGAGACCTGAAATGTCTTAGTAGATGCTAAGCGGCTTTGCCGCTCATAACTCACTTTGTCACATTATGCATTTAAATTTAATGTGTAATTTATGGGCGGATTTGTCGACCTTCCTGCCTGCGATGTCTGTTAATTAGAAAATCAGTTTGGAACTGCGTTGTCAGGGGTACAACTTGTGGATAGAGTACTATTTTTGGGACATTGAACGAAGTAAGAATATAACTTATTTTAAATTCCGGAGATGTAAAAATCCAAAAATTTAAAATAATATCCAAATTTAAAATACTCTTAAAAGTTTTGATACTTATGGATTTTTAAAAATTTGTTCTTGAATAAGGGTACTAAGTACCAAACATTAACAAAACCTTAACTAAACTTGATCTTAAAATCTCCCATAATGATATTAAAATAAAATTCTCATCTCTTCCATTATTTCTTAAACTATTTCGGCAACACTGGTATCACAGCTCTATTCCTGATGCGTGGGAGTAGTCCTTGCTCTATCATGATACGTGGGGGGTACTCTATTAATTACACTCCATAATGGTTACTTCCGCTGGGCCCACATAATAGCATAATTAATCGATATTAAATGAACATCAGCGGAACAATAAACGCCGGAAGCCAGCCACAAAAGGTTAAATTAAACGAAGTAATTGTTACACAGCCACAGCCGTTGAAAATCGACCCCCTCAGGCAGTTTGGAATTCCCTGAGGAGGGTTGTCCTGACTGGGTCCTTTACAATGCATAATAAACAGTCGAGCGGGCACGGAGCAAACAAAAGTGGGGAAACGAAGCTCGTTGAGATTTTGATTTTTAAACGGCCCATCGGGGGGTGGAAGTGCGGACTGGTTGGGATTGAAAAGACAAGGCTGTAAAGCGCACAAAGTCACACGGCAGGTGGCGTTGAAAATTCCGAAAGTGGGTGGGTATCTCGGCACACAAAGTGATTTAAATGCACTTCTAATGGGATGAAATTATATACTGTCTGAGCTTGAGTTACTCCAGCTCCCTCTCTTATTTATACCAATCCCATTTCCACTCCTATTTGTGGCTTCAAGGGGAGGACATGAATATGCATGGATTTGCGCTTTTGATGTGCTAACCATCAAGAAAGCAAATCCAAAAAGGGGCACCTTCATCTTAATCTAACTTACGACCAACTTTAACTTAAACTGTACATTTTTTAATTAAAATTTTGACTCATAAAATAATAATTAATGACCTTCGGGGCCAGCGTTTAAATAATTTGATGGCCGGCTAAAGCCGCTTAGAATAATTTCAAAACAACAATTTGTGACTGCCTCATTTCAGGGGTCACATTTAGCATCTTATCAGAGCTTAGCAGCTGGGGTCACCACTCGCGTCGATGGCCAGCCAACTGCGGTCTGTGATTACAGCTTTTGGCGCTCCAGATGGAATTTTAGCGGTCTCAAGTGCCCATTGGGCGGGGAAATATTCAACTCCAAGTTTCGAATTGAAGGACCATACGCATATCGATGCAGGCACTTTGAACGAGCTCTAAATTCATCTTCCGACCCAGAGAAACTGATAATTTCGTCAATCAAATGCGGCTCTGGAACATAGAAGTCATCACCTAGGAAAATTCACATCGGAGTTATTATCTACTTTTGTGTTAAAGCGATTATTTTAAAAACACAAACCTGGCAAGACATAAATCATAGATCCTTTGCAGTCATAAGCCACCGGCAAGAACATGGTAGTGCCCAGTTCACTGCGCTTAATGGCAAATTCCAGCAAACTCTTGTAATCTTTAATTCCTATTAGGCGTAACAATTCATAGACCTGTGGAGGCAGGAACCAAACCTCGCCGAGATCGGCCAGTCGCAGGAGTTCTTCTGGTGCCAGCCACTATTTAAATGATAAATATTATTAGATAGACAAAAAAACGCTGTAAGATTAACCTCACCAGTGTCTCCTTGACTTCGGAGGGTTCCTCCAGCAATTTGGGATGCTTATCCGCAAAAGCCATAAAGAAAACCGTTTCATGGCTACAGACATTTGAAATCAAAACTTTGACATTATAAGTTCGAAGATCCTTCTTATTTTCGAATAACATTTGCAGCAACCCACCCCTTGCGCATAAATCCTGGACTCGCCCAGGCGGACCACTCGTGTAGTGCCCACAAATCCGGCACCACTTTAAGCTCCCGGCAGAGGGTCAGGAACTCGCTGGGTTTGTTGTGCACCCGTCGCTGCCACGCCTCCAGATCGGGGACATCCTGAACGCAGGTCACTGCACCGAAATCCAACTGGCTGCGATTGCGGCACAGCAGCACTCCCACCTCCTCAAAGCACTCCCTCACGGCGGTGAGTCGCAGTGTAATTTCACTGAAAGGGGAGACAAAGGTCAGAGATTAAGCTCGTAATCTGATAAATCAAACAAGAGTCTTTGGACTCACCGCGCCCAAATGCGGGAACGCTTGAAGAACCGATCGTAGCAGCCGGTGCCCTGGGGCGCCAGGATAGCAGGACGATCGTCGCGGATGAGCACCAGGCGACGCAGTGCCTCCTGTGGAACCCCAAATTCCTCGAAGTACTGCAGCCAGGCCACGTTCTCATCGCCATCGGAATCCAGGAGGCCACCGGGGAATACGGTCTGGTTAACCATTGCCGCTGTGGCATCGCTGCGTTTTAGCATTAGCAACTGCAAGATGAGGAGTATAAGATATACAAGGCCATTCCTGGAGAAGATCTCTATGCCCACCTGGTAATCCTCACTTTTGCCGAGATCCCTGGACACCAGGATAACACTGGCCGATGTGCGCCACTTGGGCGGAGTAGCAGCTTGGCTCATGTCTGCAAGTAATTAGCTAAATAGTTAGCTGAACTTTGTATTTCCACCCACAACATAAAATCAAAATGTTTTTTGTGCGCCCTCCAATTCGCTCAGCTGATAGGCCTTCGCCTATCGATAACGACTCCTACTGTAGGAAGTGATCGATAAGCCGCTTATCAGCGCGTTGTATTTGAAATTTGAATTCGTGCGAAATTGAAACTTTTACCTTTCGGCCAGATAAAACCACAAAATTACAAGCCAAGCATGTTTGCGTAGAAGAACAAAAGACCAAAATAGATTAGTTTGTGCTCGCCACACGTGTTCGCAAACATATTTAAGCTCTGCCCTTGGACAACAAGAGACACTTGCAATTGGTGTTCCCATACGAAAGCAACTTGCATTTGAAATGAAAGTTTTTACCACGATCTTGTTCCTTGGCTTGTGCCTCAGTGGCATTCGGGCGGAGGAAGAGTTGGAGAGCATCGCTGATCTGCTGAAGGATAATGCGAAGGGCGTGAAGACGGCCAATGCACTTCTGACTAGGATTGCAGCAGTCAGCGAGGAGACACAGGCTGGTTTGGCCGAGCAAAAGGAGGCCCTAAAAGCTCTTACACTCATAGAGGAACTGCTGGCCAAGCTGACGCTCACTCTGGAGGCAAGTTCCCAGAATCTGGTGACCACCCTCTTGAACATCTCCAAACAGGGTGAGGAGTATGGACATCGCACAGAGGCAGAGCTTCTGGAACTGGCCCGCCTGCAGGAGGGCACCAAGGAGCTGATCAATGTGCTGGAGGCCAAATTGGATGCCTACCAGAGGCATGTGCTTCACAGTTCCCGCAACATTGACAAGAGCATCGATGGACTGGCCAAACTGATCACCAGGACGGTGCTGCCACAACTTAATGGCCTGAAGTGCACTTTTGATAGCTTGGAAACGTCCCAAATCAACGTGGAGGTGGAGCTAAAGAGCCTGGCCGGAGTCAAGGAACTTAACGAGAACTCGTACCACAAGCTGGGCGTTCTGGAGGATCAACTGAAGCAGCTGAATCGCACCCAAGAGCAGCGCCTTGACACTTTGATCGCTTCCGTGAAGCATTTGCAGCCTCATAGCTCCCGGAAAGTTGAGGCAGCTTTGCGTGAACTGATCATCTCCCAGAAACGCATCGAAGTTGACCTGGAAGAGTGCAGTCGGCACCAGCCGTATCCAGGCTACCAGGATGAGTCCTATCTGCCCACCTATGGAGGCGAGGTTCCAGAGCCACAGTATTCTCAGCCCAAGCACAAACAAGTGGATCTGGAGCAGGTGTGGAGCAACAATGAGCCGCCAAAGCAGGGTAAGTTGTGTTTTATGGTACCAGAATTGGTTCAGAAATAATACGTCTTTCCCCGTTTACAGGAGAGTACTCCGGAAGCTACAGGGTGACTGCCTATGCCCAATCACCTGAGCCCAGGGAGAACCAACAGAGCTCCAGTGCCGTGTCCTGGCGTCCAACGCTGCCCTGGGAGAATGCCTTTCCGTACCAGGCCGCACCGGTTCACCAGCCATGGAACCCAGCTCCTGCCCACGGTACCACCTCCCAGCCCAAGCGGAATCCAGGTCCCAAGGAAGAACACTCCGCTCCTGCGCCACCACCCCACCAGTCTGCCAATCCCGAAGCGCACAAGTCTCCTGTAGAGCACAAGCCGAAATCTAACCAAGAGCAATCCCAGAAACCCCAACCCAACCCCGAGCAATTGCAGAAACCCCAGCCCAATCCCGAGCAATCCCAAAAACCCCAACCTAACCACGGACAACCTCAATCATCCCACAAGCCGCAATCTCATCAAGAGCAAGCTCGCAAGCCCCAATCGTACCAGCATCAATCTTACAAGCCAGAACTCATTCATCCAGGAGAGTCCTTTAGGATTTGGTACGGAGATAGTTCTCTGCCCGAAGGATATTGAAGACATATGAAACTGGCACAACAAAAGATTCCCGAGACCGATAAAACTTTTAGAAACTATTTATAAAGTATTCACATAGAAAATTATAATATCCTTTATGTACGTACTATATGTACTAAATTTTTATATCTTTAATAAATAAATTGCAAGGCAAAAGAAACTCATCCGGTTGTATTACTTTTAAGGCTCAGTTCTTATACTTCCTTTAACAACCAATTTAATATGTACCCGATGATCTGAAATATGGTTATTAAAATATAATTCAGCAAAGGAAAGCTTCGCAGAAATTATAAACTTTAAATATTTACATCGATACTTTTATAATTACCACGAGAGTTTAATCTTTAAATGTGCTTATACAGATCCTCTGGAGGCTTCAAAGTTGATTGAATGTAAAAAATATAAATATTTTTTTGGCATTGTAGCCAATTTTCAGATGAATAACTTGACGGTTTTTTAAATATATTACCATATGTCTAACATTGCTTTAAACTCGTAGACCAATCAGTAACCTGATTTTTTGCATAACTCTTTTCTGTTGTGGGAGGACGCTAAGTTTGAAAATATCCAACCCAAAACTAAAATATTTTAGAACTGTTAATTCTTAAAAGCGAAGTCAAACAAAAGGTTTCAGAATAAGCCAACTGAGTCTATGATAAAACTCGAATTTTAAAAAAGTGCCAATGTGCGTTTAACATAATGGGCCAATAAATAACCTCTATAAGGTAAGACAGCCAAATAAAATGATTGGGAAACAGTTCAATGCTCTCCTATTATTAAAAACTATATTATTCGTTGAGCTTTTTTAAATTGTGTTCAAATTAATCGATCTATAGGCACAGAAGAATGGTTGAAGAAAGTTGCTTAACAACCCTTTTAAAAATGTTAATCAGAAGTAGTTCATAAAAATGTAGTTGTCATATCAAACACTTAACTAGACCTATTTTCTGAATGAATTTTAACAAGTAGCAGCTGGGGCACGTTTTTCAGTGGTATCGTACTACCGTTACGCACAAAAAACAGGTCAATCTGTTCCAAAAGAGAGCTGTTTAGAAACGAAGAAGAATTTCAAGACGTGACTATACCTAATTTTCTTCGTGTTACCAAAAAGTCGATGAATTAAAAAGAATGTAAGACAAATATGAGAATATAAAACATGTATCGTTTAAGATTTGTGTTTGGCTATCAGAAGGTGGGTGTTTGTGACAAACTTTTTATTTTGATGATATAGTCGATCTGTTGGTGAGGAAACAAACATTTTCAGATTAGAGCAGCGTTTGCAGCTGCATTCACTAAAGAAGAAGTGGGTGGTTTGTGAACTGATAGAACTTAGCACAGTCTGCGACACGTTTTGGGCCCTAAGTTGGACTACATAAGGTGCAGTTCTGACCAAAGAAAGCCACACATTGGTGAGCATCCATCAGAGAAACACCATGAGAACGCAACTGATTTTTGTAACGATCTGCATTTACCTTTGTGGTGCTTCTGCTCAGGATCTGGATTCATCTCCCGAGATCCGTAGGGAATTGAAGGAGCTAATAAAGGGTACTGAAGAGTTGAACATCGGAGTGGAAAATGTGAAGAACGTGCAAAAGGGCATCGAGGAGAAGTTTAAGCATCAGCGTGATGAGATCGAGCTTATTGGCCAACTAGAAGTTGCGCTAGCTGTACTGGATACAAAGGTTCAAAGCAGCTTCGAGGCTACAGGTTCCGGAGTGGGAAACTTAACAGCCATTATCAAAGCAGTCCAGAGCCAAAATGAACAGTCCATTCAGAACCTCACCAAAGTGGATCTGGCCATCAGGAGTGCCCTGGAACAAGTGGCTGTCAATCAGAACAAATACGAGCAGGATCTGGATGCGGTGACCTTATCCGTCAACTCAAATCTTGCAGAGATTCAACAGTTAATATCGCAGCGCATTATTGGTGACCTCATCGGCTTGAATAACAAGGCTAAGGTTCTTGAGGGACAGCAGCGCAATATCATTAGTCAAGTCGGACATCTGGGAGAGCTGAATTCCCTGGCTGATCGTGCCAATCGCAAGATCAATCAACTGGAGTGGGGTCTAGTCCTACTCAATCGCACTCAGTCCGAAAGCCTTAATGGCATCGAAAACACTGTCCATGCAGTGCAGGTGGCCACCTCCCAAATTGATCACAAGCTCGGTAGCCTGCTGGAGAACCAGAAGAGCATTGCAGAGACATTGGAGGGCTGCAAGCGTAAAAGTCCCCCAAATCAAAAGCCCTACGAGGTCTGGACCCATCCGGAACATGCCCCCATCTCCCAGTAAGTTTTTAAGCCTATATATTAATTCTCTTATTTTAATAACTCATATTCCCTTTTAAGATCAAAGTCAGAGAGCAGCTACGCCTCCGAAGAAGAGGCTGAACTCCTTTACAAACTCTGGTATGGCAAGGGCCAGCAGGAGTAAAGGACATAAACTCACAAAACAATCCTAGTAAATTTTTTGTAAACCCCTCCTGTAGTTTCTTTTTTAACTTCCTAATTCAATTTTATCTATATAAAGCTAATCCATCTTTTTCTAAATGTATAATAAATTCTTCTTAATGCTTATATTTGTAATATAATATTTTAAAGAAACATTTTAACAATGATACTCTAAAAAATAAATCAACATTTTACTTACAGCTTTTTATAATTTATAGTCAGTTCAAACATTAATCCTAGATAAATGCACATAATATCAAGGAAACTGCTTTCTCCTTTATAGCTTGGTGGGGTCCACGGGATGCACTTGACCATCATCCCGGTCAAAGTTAATTAGAAGCTGTGACTGATGCTGGTTCCAGTGCTCCGAACGATGTAGTTTGCCATTGGCCTGCGATCGAAATTCCTCGACTGACAATCCAGTCTCGATTTTGTCGCTACTAGCATCCGGATCGGCGGGATATGCCTCGTCTCCTGGCAAAAGGTGTACAGTTCCATTCTGGCACTTGTACATCACGGGATGGATCAGGCCAAGGCCTTTCAGCTCACGCTCAACAGCGAATTGACGCAGACTCTCCAAGGAGGAGAAATTGAGGAAGCGGGATAGCTCGTAGAATTGTGGAGGCGGCAACCAAAGTTCCTTTCTCAGGCACGCTTGAAGGTAGTCTAATGGCGAGCGCCACTACAAGAGATAAGTTAGGTTATTAGGTGAAATTTCATAGAGTATAAATGTTTATATTGTTTACCGCACAATCCTTGACCTCGTTGGGTTCGATAAGAACGCTGGGCTCTTGTTCTAGAGCGGTCACAAAGAAGGCCGTCTCGAACCGCTTCTTAAAAGTGGATGGTGTGCGCCAGACGGACCACTCGTGGAGTGACCAAACGTCTGGGAGCACCTCCAGCTGCTTACAGAGCTTCAGGAACTGACTGGCATCATTGTGGACGATGTGCTGCCAGTGGACACGATCAAACTGATCGTAGAACTTTCCATAGCCGCTGGTGGAGGTCAATGACTTGCTGTCCCTACACAGCAGGATGCCCAATTCTTCAAAGGTCTCTCGTAAGGCAGTTAATCGAAGAGCTAGGGACCTGTAAGGCGTGTAAAAAGTTGTCACAAGGATACTTCTTAGGGGACAAATTTCAGTTGCCTACGGATCTATCGTTTCTTTATCTTCCTTGTACTGGAATATCTCTGGACGTGGTCCCTTCACGTTGCTGATAGTTTGCAGTTTGGTGGCACTGATTTCGTTCCGCCGAAAGTGATCCAACCAGGCAGGTGAACTGTCTGTGACATCGCAAACTCCGCCCGGAAACACCGAGGACTCCGGCATGAAACTGGACTTTTGGGTTCGCGTAAGGAGCAGAGCCTTAATAAAAAACTTATTGTATTAACATGAGTTTTTATAAGGATAAACTGCAACTTACATTATAATCGAATGATTTGGTTTTTGCTGCTTGGTCCTTGGCCAGCAGGATTAGGCTGGAGGATGATCGGATTTTGGGCAAGACCTTGGACATGTTTAGGTAATACGTCGATTTCGATAGCTTGGCAGGTACTATCGATTGTTCGCCAGCTGTTGTTTACATATTTAAAAAATACCCAACACCTGTTGAATAAATGGTGTTTAGAAAATGGGCCAAAAATTAATATTCAATTGGATTATTATCATTTATTATATCAAAATTTTCAAGTAATTTAAACCAATGGCTGAATAATAATAATATAATTCCTAAATTAGGGTATCATACAGTCGTATCCCGTGATCTCAACATTGAAGTTTTTGTTATTGTGGGTTTTGGGTTTAAGATCAAAGGTTTGTGGAACTGGATCAGGGAATCAAACGGATTTGGACTCTAAACTATGGGATCTTCTACACGAACTGGAACCTACAGACCTTCGGCTAGCCTAATACTTGCTGCCAAACAGGATTCTTTAGAGGAGTACGACTATAGAGTGAGTCAAATACTTTCAAGGATCAACATTAAACTAACATGCTTACCTCTGGCCAAAGTTACTGTTGATAAAACGTACTGAAGGTACTTCCTATGCACTGAATCACTGCGTTTTCCCGGGTGGCGTCTTCGATCCCAAAGAGGATGGATCTTTGGAATGGATTACTTATTTTAAATCCTTTGGGGTGACCGATGAGCAGTTGAAATTGCTCAGTCACAATCAGAATACTCCCAGGCCTGAATTTCTATCTGGCGGAGAGCACTTTTCAAAGGACATTGCATTGCGACTGACTGCGCTGAGAGAATCTTTCGAGGAGGTGGGCATCCTGTTATGCACTAGTCAGACTGACTTCAAGGAATGGGATTCCAAATCAAGTCATCCTCGTACATTACTCCTCGAGCCAGGCGAGCGCTCTGAGTGGCAGCATCGAGTTCACAATGATGCCTCACAGTTCCTGGAACTCTGCAGGCATCTTAATGTTATTCCCAACCTCTGGTCTCTGCAGGAATGGTCCATTTGGAGAACAGCCGCCACAGCCAATCGGAAATATGACACTGTATACTACATCTCTGCGCTGGATGAACAGGCCAAGAATATTAGTCTTCTGCTGGAACCGCACGAGGTAGCCTCCGCCCATTGGATGAGTCCAGCGGAAGCATGGACGAGCTCACAAACTGGCGTCATTTGGCTGCCATTTATGCTGCTCTACGACATCGCTCGTCTGATGAACTTGCATAGCTGGCAGGAGCTTCTCAACTTTGCCCGACAACGGAGTTCCCGAGGTGGCACAATGCTGCAGCCCGTTTACTACCGCTGCGATGACTGCATGTTTGGAGTACTTCCTGGAGATGAACTTTATCCCATGGAACCTGGCGCCTGCACACAAACCAATATCTTGTCGGGATCGGTGAACGAACTTCATCGAAAGGCCAAGCAATACAATCGCTACATAGTCTACGATTTTCACCACGTCGTGCTGGCTTCCAATGTCCCGCCCTGCGATGGTCATTTGCCACTCCAGCCACTTGTTAACACCAAGCTAGCAAAGTTGTAGTAAAAAGTTAAAGTAGTTGAATATAAATATATTTTCTCTTTCGCTACAATTTACCGCTCTCCAATTCCGCCTGTATACCGCGACAGGCGTGACACAGGCCGTCCTCCGACTGCAGTCGCTTCTTGGCCAAGCCTTCGAGGTCTTCTCCGTTTTTGTACAGACCCACACCGGCCTCTGAAACGGATCTAGAGTACTCGATGGCCAGCAGAGTGTCGGAAAGTGTGGAATCCAGAGAAGACTGGCAGTGAACACAAGAGGTCTGCTCCGGATGGGCATTGACGGCTATTTTGTCTCCAGTACGAAACACTGTGGACACGGTGGAAGCATAGTTTTGCTGCAGGTTAGCCACAAAGGCGGTCGTGAGGTTCTGTAGACTGGCAGTCTGTCCACGCTCCTGGCCATAACGTGAGCCACTCTGCATAAGTATCTTCAGTCGCTGGGCATGTATATAAAATTGAATTTCCTGCTCGTTTAGATCTTTGAGGGGTCGCAACAATTTGACATCGCCAGCCAGCCGATCGTCAAGAAGAGCCACATCCAATGCGGCACTGCCTCCACGTCCCAATGCTATCGCAGTCAGCAGCTGGGTGGCCAAATCCACACTTATGCTGGGCTCAAAGACATGAGTGCATTGCAGCTCCTGCGCCACCGAAGCAATCAGATTCTTGCGCTGCTGCTGCAGGTAATCCTGGCGAGCTGTCAGACTACGCAATTTCTTAAGCTTCTGGTCAAGCACGTTGGTTTCTTTGGGGGAAGTATTGTAGTCCTTGATCCTCTGCAGGGAGTTGGGCAAGGACCCCAGCTCAATCACATGGAACTCAAAGGGTGCATATTGTGCGGATAGGCTCTGGAGCGCTTCCATGTCCACAGGATCACGCCCCTGCACCTGCTGATCCTCCACGTAGACCACACGTGCATTGCAATGAAGTCTTTTGAACGTGTTTTGAGTTTGTGCGAAGTGTAGCATGTCCAGGAGCACGAGGGACTCCGCAGTGCCGTCCAGAACTAGGAGAACCTCGGCGTTTCTGGGCAGGATCTTGGCTGCACCCAACGCTGCCCGGAACTTGTGCCTCGCGTACGCCAGAAAGCAGTCACGGCACTCCGCTGTCCGGAAGTTGAGTTTGTAGAGTTCGCTGGAGGTTACTCCGCATTTGTTGCAATCCCCTGGGCTGAGGACGATTCCCGATGGCAGGGATTCCGCCACCATGGCGTGGGCGGCTCCCTCGTCTCCAAAATCATCTTCGCCGATGCTGCACATGGCAACTATTTACCTTTAATAAATGAATTTCACAGATAAACGAAATAACCAGGGATGCAAACGGCCTATAGTGACAATCTAGCGGGTTTCACTCAAATTTTTTGTTAAGTAGTCCAGAAGATTAATATTTTTTCATGCAAAAGAACACTTAAAAAAACAATTATGTGACTATCACTTGCCGTCCTCGTCTGATATTAACATAAATCTTTAGTGGATAAATATTTAAAAATTAAATATTTACATAATTTGTCAATTATAAGTATATAGCTACTTTATAGCTACCTAATCGATAGACACCACCCATCCAAGCCTATCGATATACCAGACGATATATCGACTACGCAGCCTAAACTCGTCAAAAAGCAACCTTGCAACAGGAAAAGTGCAGTGAAAATTACAAAAATAGCTGTTTAAACCTAAATTTGTTGTACAAATATTATTCATAAGTTATATTTAAGGCTTGAGGTACGTGCAATTGGTGTTTGTGTGGGAAAAAACGTTGAGAAAACCCCTGAAATTTGGGCGCAAAAAACTGGGTGCTGCTGATAAGTATGTATGTGAGTGCCTGCGTGTCTGTGTGTGTACGTGCGGTTTGGCTGTGTGTGTGCTTCGTGCTCGTACGCAAGCAAAAAGTATCGGGTAGCAAAATCGAGAAACTTTCTTATTGACGATAGCCGAGCGAGAAGAAGAAGCAGCTCAGCTCTGACATTTAATTGAAAGGGCAGGAAAAAATTTCAACGAAAAGTGAAATAAACGCCGACATCTCATTGCAGAGCATCAAAGCAGAGGATAACGCGTTAGCTGGAAGCTAACAGTGCACCCAAATCCACGCAGAAACGTCGCCCGAGCGGCAGAGGTCATCTTAAAAATACATTTTCGGGCGTGTATGCCCCCCGAGCACGATTAACCCCCCACCCAGATAAGCCCAGACCAACGCAAGTAGCCCCCAACCAAAAACAAGAAGCAGCAACCAGTGTAGCACCAACCCGCCTCAGAATGATTCTGGAGAATTCCGACAAGCTCAAGGATTGGCTGAGCGTGGTCCTGGAGCCACTGTAAGTCCTTTGTACTCACTAATAATCCCCATTTCAGCATCTAACCCTTGAATTCCACTTACAGCTGCGATGCAGACTCCTCGGCCTTGGCGCGCTATGTCATCGCGCTGCTGAAAAAGGACAAATCGGATAAGGACCTCAAGCGGATCATGATCGAGCAGCTTGATGTTTTCCTGTCCGAGGAGACGACGCGCTTCGTGGAGCGCCTCTTCGATGCCATTGCCAGCGAGGAGTACCTGACGGTGCCTGCCGCCCCCCTGATAACGGCCTCCAGTGCCTCCGCCAATGAGCTGGATCTCGACCAGGAACTGGCCCTGGCCATTGATGGGGCCCAGGATATCGAGGCCGTGCTGGCCGCCGATTCCCCGCCGCCGCCACCTAAAGACAATGTGATAAACCCAGATAGCAATCAGGTCAAGTTGGAGCAGGTCAGCCACGATGCCAGGGAAGCCGAGGCGTTGGCCTTTATCAGCCAGGAAGCGGGCATTGGATCGCAGCCAGATGTCAAGCCAGCCTTCGATGTGAGTCTTTTGTGGTCTCTTATTCATAGCATTTTGTGTAACCTCTCGTCTTTTTTACCAGCAGCACAAAACCAAAGAGTCCCACAATCCACAGTCCGCCTCCAACTACCAACACCACCATGTGCGCAGTGCCAGTCCACCTGGCAGAAGCAGCGGAGTCAGCGGGACTGGAGGAGGAGGAGCTGGCGGAGCAGCTCTGACAGCGGGATATGCTGACAAGGAAAACCAGCCGCGCGACAGTCGCCGACGACGTGCCTCCCTTCGGTCCCGTTCTCGCTCTCGGTCGCGTTCTAACGAGCGCGCCTTTCGGCGATCCAGGTCACGCGACCGTCGGGTGAACGACCGCGAGAAAACACAACGACAGTTCCGCAACAAATCCCCGCCAGGCTCTCAGACCGACAATCGGCATCACGGCCGGCGCAACTTTGATCGCCGGCGCATCGGAGGAAATGCAGATGAACGTCCACGTTTTGGAAACACCAAGAGCCGACGCTCCCACAGTCGATCCATGTCGCCTGAGCGAAACGCACGTCGCAACCAGAGTTCCCCGGAGCGAGTGCAAGCAGCCCAGCCCAATCAAGTTCCCGCTCCAGTGGCGGCACCTACGCCCGTAGAACATCCGGCTGCCCATCCTCGCCAGCGCTGTCGCGACTTTGACGAGAAGGGTTACTGTGTCCGGGGCGAGACATGTCCCTGGGATCACGGCATTAATCCGGTAGTGTTCGAGGGCATCAACAACTCAGCCCTTATGATGTCCATGCGTGAGTACAATCCGGATGCGCCCGAAATATGGGCGCGGGGCGGTGCACCGCCACCAGGAACTGGTCAGGGAACTGTGCCTCCGCCAACGCAGCCGGGCCAAACCACCATTAATCCGTTCACCGGTAATGTTCGACCAAGTACTCTGATGAGCGGCTCTGGGCCCAATGGACCGATGGGTGTTCCCAATCCCGCTGACTATGCCCGCAATCCAGGCGCTCCGCCACAGTCTGCCATGATGCCATTCCCGTTCAATCCCACTGCTGTGACTACTCCATTGCAGCGTCAACTGATACCCATTCCCGTGGTTGATGGCGCTCCGTCGGGCGGCGTTGCTGAGGTTGGTAAGCGACGTTTCGAGCTGGAGGATACGGTGGCCATTGCCGATGTGCCCACGAAGCGAAAGGTGCCAATCAACAGTCGCCTTGGTCCACGGGTTAATCCCAATATGCAGCAGCACAACAGCTCGCTGGAGCTTCGGAAGGTGCCGCGGGGATTGAATACCATTGCCCATTTGAACAACCACTTCGCCAAGTTCGGCAAGATCGTTAACATCCAGGTTTCGTACGAGGGAGACCCAGAGGCAGCTATTGTGACTTTCTCCACCCATGCGGAAGCGAATGTGGCCTACAGGAGCACCGAGGCGGTGCTGAACAATCGATTCATCAAGGTCTTCTGGCACAACGACAGCAGCGGTGTGGATGTGGGCCAGATGAATCAGATGGGCGGAGGAGGCGGTGGCAGGAAAAACGCGAGCCAGTATCATCTGCATAACGTTCCAGCAGTGCCCACGCCCAATGCTGACAGTGCGAAGATCAGCAATGCCAATCCTCTGACCGAAGCGGGAGCGGGCAACATTGGCAACCCTACGACGGAGCAGGCCAGCACAGCAGCTCCCGCCTCCATGCGTCTCAAGCTGAACACGACGACACCGGGCGGCGCAGCTGGAGGACCAGGTGCGGGTGGAGCGGCTTCGGGTCGTCCCATGAATCCGACCGCTAATGCAGCCAGCATACGCAAGAAACAGGAGGAACAGCAGAAAGCGGTTCATCAATTGGCCAACGGGCTGCGCAAGCGCAAACAGGAATTGCTTCAGAGCTACATGAAACAGATGAAGACTGCATTGGAACTCGTAGAGCGCATGGACCAGCAGGATCCCCAAAGGGCCCCAACCCTGCAGACAATCAAAGTGCTGCAGATGACAATCGATAAACTAGGCAAGGAAATCCAGGCCGAACAAGATCAATTGCAGGCACAAATCCATCAACAACAGCAGCAGCAACAGCCACCCGTCAAGAAGACCAAGGAGCAGCAGAAGAAGGAGTTGCTTGACATGGAGCTGGAGCTGATCGCCCAGCAGCAGGAGGGTAACGACACCACTGCCATACAGAAGCGCCTGGAAGAGCTGCAGCGCAATCTGGGCGTTGGCGGAGGCCCAGGCGCAAACAACAAGTCTCCCCACTTTGCAGCAGCTTCCGGGGCACCCGGTGGCGGAGCAGGACGCAAGCGTCCAAATCTGCCGGAGGGACCCACGCGCGTCGATAGACGACCAAAGGCTATTGTGGTCACTGGCTTTGCGGCCGAGGAGGCAGACTTTGTCCTGGGGCACTTCAAGGTGAGATTTCTGAAAATCGTGATTTCTTCAAATTCAAATGTATAATAATCTATAGGTTGTAATTGCATTGATTTTAAATCCCGACATTTTACATTAATTTGTATCTAAACTATAAATTTTATTGGTTTCACACACAGAACTTTGGCGAGATTTCCAAGCATGATGTAGACCGTGAGATTCCACAGTTAATACTCTCGTATGCGACCCGTCTCAATGCCGAACAGGCCGTGCTCCGGGGCAAAATGTACAAAGACAAGCGTCTGCAGGTAAGTCAATGGCTAAAAAATCCTTGGCTAAGGCAATAAACTAATTCGATTTGCAACAATAGATTTCGTGGGCGCCCGTGGTGACTCCCGCACCGGTTCCGATGGCGGCCCCTGTTGAGAAGTCCACTGCACCCGTTGCCATGGCTGTTAGCCTAGAGAACCCAAAACAGTTGATCCAGTCCGTCAGCGAGAGCGAGAGTCTGTTGGGCAGCGACACGCTGCCGGAGCTGCGTCTAGAGGATGAGGAGGAGGACGAGGAGTCCGAGGATCGTTCCTGGCGTCGTTGATGCACCGCCCTGCGCTGCTGAGGCGGCCGGGGAAGCTTCGAGTGGCTCACAAGTGTTAGGGAACCCTTAACATGTATTTGTTGTTATTCTATATCTAACTGCGGGGTGTGCGGCAGTGCCTGGAAAGATGCACAGCGAAGCACTCTGCACACATTCTGCATAATTAAACGCTCTAAATATTACTAATATTTTACTGAACATAAGTTACGAATCGCATACAAATACGAATGAGTTTAGCAAGCCTAAGTCCGAATTAACAACACAGAAACTACAACTTCAAAAGCGAAATGCAACCAACTCTAAGGCTCGGTGCAAAAATGCGCGAGGCAAAACATTGGTTAAAGATCGTGAACTACCTTTGTATTTACACATTTTTCACTCTATCCTTTTCTTACATACAAATATATATATGCAGATATATAATTGTTAAGATTTTATGTTGAGTTAAAACGATAAAACACTAAAAGAACAAAAAAATTGCAAAGAAAAAATCCCCAAAAACAAGCGCAATGAAAAGTTAAAAAAAGAAAAAAATCGTAGCAACGTGAATGCAAAACAGCAAGTTATATAGAGAGATATAATAAATAAAATAAATAGTTTCGTATTTCAGGAAAAACAATGCTTTGAATTGGGCTGAGGGTGAGAAACATTTTCAGATTTTAAAATATTCAATACAGATGTAGACTTTTTTTCACAATTCGAAAAAGCGCGCTTCACCTTTTCGGTGTGACCAGCCGATAAAAGCAAGGTATCGTTGCAATCGATGCTAAATCTGAAAGCATCGATATATGTATCGATAATCTACTCTTCATATGGCGCGATTCAATGTTTTACTATATTTGTGAATTTGTTTGAATGAAAGCTGTCCTAAAATGTTTTCGCACCGTGGTTACTGCACACAGATGCTACTGCGCTAAGCCCGGCCAGGAGATGAAGTTCCTCAACGTGGCGGAGAAGAACGACGCCGCCAAGACAATTGCCGGTTTGTTGTCCAATGGCGCAGCACGCAGGGTAAGGAATTTGGTCGGAATTTTAGGATATAGTACATCCCTTAAATTATTTGTTAACCTGCCCACAGCGCGAGGGCTACTCGGTGTACAACAAGGTCTTCGACTTCGAGGCTCCTGTACGCGGTCAGAATGCCAAAATGGTCATGACCTCCGTTTCCGGCCACCTGATGCAGCTGGAGTTCATGGTGTCCTATAAAAACTGGCGAGTGGTGGATCCACGCTCCCTGTTCGATGCCCCGATAAAGAAGTCCGTGGGTCCGGACTATGAGCCCATTAAAAGGACTTTGGAGCGCGAGGTGCGCGGCTGCCAGGGATTGATTGTCTGGACGGATTGCGATCGCGAGGGCGAGAACATTGGCTACGAGATAATCAATGTATGTAAGGCTATTAAACCGAATCTTACGGTTTACCGTGCCACATTTTCGGAGATTACCACCATTGCGGTGCGCCGGGCTCTGCAGCAGTTGGGTCAGCCGGACAAAAGGCAGAGTGATGCGGTGGATGTGCGCTCCGAACTGGATCTACGGACAGGGGCTGCCATTACCCGGTTCCAGACCATGCGCCTGCAGCGCCTCTTCCCCGAGAAGATCGCCGACAAGCTCATATCCTATGGAAGTTGCCAAATTCCCACTCTCGGATTTGTCGCCGAGCGGTACAAGGAGGTTGAGGCGTTCGTATCCGAGCCCTTTTGGAAGATTAAAGGTAGGAGAGCAGCTGAACTGACACTGGAAAGATCTACAGCTTGCGTTTAATCTTTTTTAGTCCTGCACACCATTGATGACTTGACGGTGGAGTTTAATTGGGCACGAAATCGTCTTTTCGATAAGGAAGCATGTGAAAACTACCTGCTACTCTGCCTGGCCGAGCCAGATCCTCGAGCGCTCGTCGAAAGCGTTACTGTCAAGCCCAAACACAAATGGCGACCCACTCCGTTGGATACGGTGGAAATGGAAAAGCTGGGCTCAAGGAAACTCAAGCTGTCGGCCAAGGAAACCATGACCATAGCAGAGAAATTGTATAGTAAGGGTTTCATTAGCTATCCCCGCACGGAAACCAACCAGTTCTCCAAGGAGTTCGCTCTGGCGCCACTAGTTGAGATGCAAACGGGTCACCGCGACTGGGGAGCATTTGCCGAGCGGGTACTCCAGTGGGGCCCAAATCCTCGCAACGGCAACAAGTCGGATCAGGCGCATCCTCCCATACATCCTACAAAAATGGCGGAAAGTGAGTTTATCACTACTTATATCATCTGTCCTGCCTAACATACGTTTCGTATTTTCCTGTAGATTTGCAGGGAAACGAGGCTCGTGTATACGAACTGGTGGTGCGACACTTCCTTGCCTGCGTCAGCAAAGATGCCGTCGGCTCTGAAACGCTCGTTCACATTGACATTGCCGGGGAGAAGTTCACGGCGAATGGTCTGGTTATTCACGAACGCAACTACCTGGATGTTTATGTATACGACAAGTGGAGTGCCAAGCAGATTCACCACTATGAAAACGGCCAGCGCTTTGAGCCCACCGAGGTGTCGTTGCACGAAGGAGCCACCACTGCTCCGCCTCTGCTGACCGAAGCGGATTTGATTGCACTAATGGAAAAGCACGGGATTGGCACGGATGCCACGCATGCTGAGCACATAAATACGATAAAGGAACGCGGCTACATCGGAGTGCTCGACAAGGGCTTCTTGGTACCAGGAGTTATAGGAATGGGTCTCTACGAGGGATACGATGCCATGGAACTGGCTCTGGCCAAGCCCCAGCTGCGTGCAGAGTTTGAATCGGATCTGAAGCTTATATGCCAGGGGCAAAAGGATCCCAAGGTGGTTTTGAGCGAACAGATAGCCAAGTACAAGCAATCCTACCAGCAGATCACTGACAAGATCACAGCCATGGATGCCAAGATAGCTGCTCGAATCAATGAGACGCCAGCGGCCAATACTTCGGGTCAGGAAGGATCCGATCAGACTCAACCCACTATGCAAACGCTCTTTCAGTGCCCAAAATGCAATCAGGCGCCACTGGCACTGAAGCCCAAGAAGAACCAGCAGGGCTGGTATATTGGTTGCAACAACTTTCCCGACTGCAAAAACGTCGTCTGGATCCCAACTGAGTGCAAGGACGTTTCCGTGTTGGACGAGTGCTGTCCCACTTGCGGCGAAGGTCATCGGATGCTCAAGTTCCGCCTGAGTACGCCTTATTATCGCGGGGTTTTCAATACGCCCAGCGGCTGGTACAAGACCTGCTTGCCCTGTGATAATCTCTTTCGCACTACGTTTAACATTAATTTGGATTCAGTTAAGAGAGTGGGTGGCATTGTGGGCGAGGCGAGAGGAGGTGGATGGGGTCCGGGACCAGGACCAGGAGGAGGAGGAGGCGGCGGCGGAGGTGGTTCCGGAGGAGGAAGTGGTCCTGGAGGAGGAGGCGGTGGTTCAGGAGGATGGGGCAGTGGACCAGGCGGAGGTGGTTCGGGCGATGGAGGTAGTAGCTCTGGAGGTGCTCGCAAAAATCCTCCACCAGGAAAAGGAAATAAAACTGACAGCGGTCCTAAGAAACCAGTAACCAAAAAACCACCAAGCGAACCAAAGCCAAAAAAGGCGCCGAAAACCACTGTCAACAAAAAAAATCCAAGCATTAAATCGTCTGGCGGCATACGCAGCTACTTTACCAGCTCAGCAACTACGAATTCCCCCACCAACGAACTAGATGGATTCTTCGATAGTAACGATGGCTTTGAGGATGCCATGTTGGCTGCTGCAGACTCCGTGGAATCGGGTACAAGCCAATCGCAAACCTCTAACGTGGTTCCTCTGGATGACGACATAGCCGCCGCCTTTGCCGCGGACGATGATGCTGAATTTGAGGCGTTGGTGAATGGAGGGAATGTGCGGGCCCACGCCGATATGGATTCCCAGCTGGATAAGAGCCTCTCGACATGGGTACAGGAACAGGACGAGGCAGATGACAGACCCATGCTTTGGGGAAGTCGTGAAAGGACTTCCTATGGTACTGCTGCTCCCACTCCTCCCCCCAAACCGGCAGCTAAACGGCCGAGGTGGGATAGTGCCGAATGGGATGCTCCAGCCCCATCGGCTACCGAACCGGAAACAGTACTTTGCACCGGGTGTCAGCAGCCAGCTCGCCAGAACACCGTGCGTAAGGATGGACCCAACCAGGGCAGGTTGTTCTACAAGTGTCCCAATCCAGATGCGTGCAACTTCTTTCAGTGGGCTGATGAGCCAGCTTCATCATCCAGGAGCAACAATGCCTTTGACAGTACCGCTCGGAGCACAACCAGTGCTTCCTCTTGGGGCACCAACCGAGTGGTCACACTACCTAGTAATCACCAGAGAAACTCCCAGCATGGCCAATCATCTATGCGATCCAACTCTAGCAGCACTGTCACCATTACCCAAACGAAAACGAAAAAGCAGGAATGGAATACGGCGACCACGTCTCCAGGCGATGGGGAACAGGTAATGTGCAACTGCGGGCAGGTGGCCAGTAGCCTGACAGTCCGGAAAGACGGGCCCAACCAGGGTAGGCCCTTTTTCTCGTGCCCCACGCGGGAGAAGTCCTGCGGTTTCTTCAAATGGGGAGATGAGGACCAAAACCAAGGTGCGTTTTCTAATTTCTCACATTGAGTAGAAATTAAGTTATTAAGGTGCTATGATATTTGTTTCAGGTGCCAGCAGTAGTTCTAGTTCCGCTTGGGGATCGTCCAACCGTAATCCTCCTGGACGTAGTCAACCTAACACTTCCACATCGGATGGTCCGAAAGCACGTCGCTGTGGACTTTGTCGGAAGGAAGGACACACACGAAACAAGTGTCCGCGCAAGAATGACTTTGATATGTAATGAACACACTGCTACATAACAGATAAGTAAAAATCACGTGGATATGTATTTTCTTGTACATTGTGTATAAAGTGAATAAATAAGTAAGTTGTTTTTTTTTAAATTAATAAATAAAAATAATAGTATTCATTTTCACACAATAGCTACACTACTTATTTTTAAACACACCATCAAAAAATAGATTTTTAAATAACCCAATAGATTGAAAAACTCTTGACTCTAGATTTTATAATTTTAAACATTTATTGAAGCGAGCTTAATATATTGCAATGAGATGAGAAGGATTAGGATCAGGTTAGAGTGTCCTCTCAATTCATAAACACTTTTTACATTTCTTTTTCGTTTTGGTTATATGTATGTATCATAAATATTTAATAGGTTTCTTTATTGGAAGAAGTAAAATTCGTTAGAAAACAATCACACTTAATGTAATAAAAAATTTGTCAGAAGTAAATTGCTTTAAAATATATATAAATAATTGTTAATAAATAATTTTTAAAATAAATTACTGAACAGTTTGAGATGCATTGGATCGGTAGCGAGTCTGCGAAAAATACCATTAAGTACAGTACGTTGGCTTAAATTAAAGATATGCGATGTTGAGCCTAAAAAGGGCAGTATGAAAAAATGCAATGTAGAATTTGGAATGGTTTAAGTACAGTTTAACAGATATGGAGAAACATTTCCAATTACTGTTATTGTTTTGGATCGAATTCATTTTTCAATAAATTCAGGTCTTCGTCTTTGTTTTGAAGAAGAGGAGAACGGAATGCTTAGGTTTAAATGATTCAACATTTAGATCTCGACTTCTGGCGTGAACTGGCGTCAGAAGTAGATCTCCTCTTCCTCGGGCTTTGCTCGAGGAGCTGGGCCAGTGGCCACACCAATTCCTGTCGTTCTTGCAATTCCCGTCCGGCTGCTCGTCGGTGTCCGTGTATAGTGGACTGCGGAATCTGCTCGGGATACTGCGCTCTGAGTGGGAGTTACCGTTGTCGTTGTTTGCTGGATGATCGCCGGCGAGCTTCCGGTGCGCGAATGCTGCGGCACTATACCTGTGGGAGTCGTTGCACTGGCAGAGTTGGAGGGCGTACCAATCCTCCGATCAGCCAGCTTAAGCGGAAACATCTGCTGAACACTGCCGGAGGAGGTGTAGGGTGCCGGAGAGGCGCTGTTGAAGCTAGCGGACTTGTCCACGCGGGTGCTTGAACTACCGCTGGACGAGAGCGAAGAGAGCTTCATGGGCAACTTCTGTTTGACCAGAGTGGAATTGGCTTTGGGTGCATTGTTAGCGCTGAGCAAATTCACCGGTGGAGTTTTGCAGTTGGAGGGGCCACTCAACCATCGCTCCTTGCGTCGATCCACTGTCCCGGTCACACTGGGCGTGCTGCTCCCCGTTCCACTTACTCCGTTGTCCGTCTCATGGTTGTCATCCAAATGACCAACATGGTGGGAATGATTGGTATTAACCGGTGGCAGCGGAGTGCTGGGCGACAGCAACAGGCCTTGACTGGACAGAAGTTCCATCTTTTTGTACAACTGTTCACGCTGCTGACGCACATCTTCCTGCTCGGCTTTGATCTGCTTCTGCAACTGGAGCTGCTGTGCCCGCATCTCGGCGAGTTCCTCTTGTTGCTGCTTTTGCTGGCGCTGCCAGGCGGTCTTTTCCTCCTGCTGCTTGTCCTGCAGATTGCGCAACTCCTCCAGTTGATCCTTGTGCGTGTAAGCACTTGAGCGAGGACTCTCCCGGTATAGGGCCAACTGCAGTTGCAAATTATGGATGGTGGTCATCTGTTGGGAGATGATGCACAAAAGAGTTTGCAGATGGTGCGACACCTGTAGCACGGCGTAATTGTTCTCCAAGGGCTGATCCACCACGGAACCTGTGCCGCTCTTTGGTTCTCGCTTCTCCTCCAGTTCCTGGAGACGGGGCGTGAGCACCAGCTTAGAGGCCAGCTTGCCACGCTTCTCATCAAATCCGGCAAATGTTTCCGCCCGCTTTGGCAGCGTGGGCGAGGCGAACTGCTCGCTCTGCTTCTCGCCCACACTACTCAGCGTCCTGGACACCGGCTGACCCGTGGCCGCTGTGTAGATGGTAGACGCCAACTGGCTGATGTCCTGCACCGTGTTAAGCACTCTGCGCCAGAGCTCAGTCGTGTCACAGTCGGCGCTAACGAGATCCTTGTACGAGCCAAAGGCTGCCAGGAAGTTGGCCGCACTGCCATTAGAATTTGAGCCGGGAACGTCTCCAAAGGGCTGCTGCTCCTTGAGCAAATTAAACTGAAGCATCAGCTTTTCTTCTAGGAGTAGAGCCTGTTCAATATCCTTCTGTCTCATCTTTTCAATGGTTTCCCTTTTGTTTACGCCTATTCTTAGCTTTTCCTCTGCCGTCAGATCCTCAGCCTCGATGATGTCCGTTGCTGGACAGTCAAGCACAGCCTGACGAATGGTTTGAATCCAGGTGTTCTTGTCCTTTGGCGTTTGCACTTTCAACTCATACATCTCGGGAAAATCAGGGTTGGAGCTTATGATATATATTCCTCGAGACTCGGTGCCAGCCTTTTCGCGGATGAGCAGTTTCTGGAGCGGAACCACACCCGCCTTGTGTTCCGGCGTAAAGAATGAGTACTTGTTGTGGCCGGAGTTCTCGCTGAGAAAGCACAGGCAGTCGGTAAGAACCACCACTAGAACAAGCTGCGTCTTGGCCCTGCCCTGCATAAGGGTGGCCAATCCATCGAATTTCAGACGTCGTCGTGACTCCACCCCAAGCTCAGTTTTACGGAAGGGCTTGTTCTTGTAGATCGCAAAGGATTTCGCATCCACACGACCGTAAATCTCCAGCTGTCGCTCGCGCAACTCCTTCTCCGCCACACACGCATCAACATCGACCAGGAGAGATTTGACCAGATTTAGGGCATGTTGCAGCTTGTCTGTCTCCAACTTGTTATCCCTGGCACTCTTCAGCAGTGGTTCGATAAGCAAGGGATATTTGGTGAGGCGCTGGGTCACGAATAAGATGCACTCGGGGATGCCCTTTTTCTTGAGCAACGGATTCTGCAGACAGTGCTTGTACCACTCGGAGAAGCTCGGTTCGGTCAAGCAGAGCTTAAACTGGTCCAGGGCGCTCCGGTGATTGGCGCAGAACTCTCCGTAGGCCAAACGCAGGCACTGAGCCTGCTCCAAGGAGAAGAAGTCCAGTAGGATGTCGGCAATACTGTCCACCATGGGATGCTCGCGCTGTTTGAGTCGCAACTGGCGCAGGAAGCAGGTGTGCAGATCGGTGAGCTGTTGCAGACGCGGAAACATGCTGTTCAGGTTAAGGGATGGAAAGTGCCGCTCCAGACTCTCCACAAACACCTTCTGCATGACAATCAGGGTCTGGCAGTGGTGCTTCTCGGTCATGATGAACTCATAGATATGTTCCTGGCGCTTTATTTGCAGTTCCTTCAGCGTCTTGAGCATGTCTCTGGGAACATTCGGGGTCCAAGAGTCGTGTTCCTTGAGAACGATGCCCAAAGCGGGATCAGCTCCCAGATCCTGCGCTTCGATGAGAGGGTCGTTGAGAAACTGCAAGTCTGAACGTATCAGTGGCTGATCCTCTGGGTTGCTATAGGTGTTGGCATCCGGCCCGTCGTAGAAGTCCTGGCCCCCGCCCATCTTCTTCACCTTGCACTCCAGGTGGTGCTCCTTGATTTGCGCCAGCGTGATGGCTGCCCCGCATACGTCGCAAGCACTAAGTTGCCCTCCAATTAGGGACTTCGTTTTCGCTTTTGGCTTCTTCTTGCGGAAGAATATGGAACCGCGCTTGGGACGCTTCTCTACGTTGTCGTAGACCTCGATTTTTGCGTGGGCCCGCAACAGGCTTTGGTTCTCATCCTCGCTGTCCGTGAGGTGGCGGGCGATCGCCTTGATATCCTCCTTGGCAATAATGGAGCTCGTTGATATGCTCTTTTGCAGCGGTATCCGGCTAATGATTTCCGTAGCCAGGCTCCGTTTGGCTGCAATTCTCTCAAAGTCACGGGCCAGCTCCGCCTCGTTTAGCGAGTGGGTGGAAATGCCTGCGAATGATAAGAGTAAGAGACTTGGTTAGTAAGTACTAATCGTTAGGGTTTCTATTCGCATGCCTCTGGTCGAAGCTACCAATGCCAAAGCTCTACCGGGGCTTCCAGATAACGGGCTATTGTGGAATTTCTTATCAAAATTGAAACTAACTGGTAACGGCCCCTACGTTTTGGTTCAGGGGCATATCAATTTCAATTGAACAATTGGTTAAATTTGCCTTAAAGCCGCTTAACCTTTAGCGAAATTAATTTACTAAAATCAAGACTTTTGTGATCTATTTATGTCAGCCATCAAAATACTCGCAATACTTTAGAGTAGGTGTAAAACCACTTAGTAAAATTAGGTAGGGCATTGAAGGTTCCCCAGAGTAACGAAAATATATCCTCAGATTTTATAATTACTTTTTTTTTACTTATATGGCACTCATAAAAAACAAACCCAGTAGGGGTATAAAGATAAAATGCAGCTACAGTACCTTTTCAAATGACTTCATTCAGTCAGTGCAATCTAAAATTCCATGTACAAGCACTTGACACGGACACTTGTCGTTAAAAACCATAAAACAAACGAAAAATATATCTAAACAAACGATTTCGATCCATTTTCCGATACTTGTGGATTTTATAGATTTCTTTCTGACCAGTTAAAGGTATGAAACTAGACTACGGTGTTTCCACACTAATGGCATTGCAAAACCCACCCCCGAAAGCAACCCAGCCCATTGCATATGTACCTCCAGTGCTGTTTCTGGCCGACCTTCGACGCTGTTCGGTGACGCGGATGGTCTCCTGTTCCTCGCTGTCCAGGCTGGATAGGCTGACGCTCTTGTTGGTGCAGTCACCGCCACCCCCGTTGGCATCGTCCACTGCAGTCCACGACTTCCTGCGGTCCGTGTGCAGCAGCAAGCATTGCTGCGGTGCCGTGGACGACCACATTGCATAGTTCGCGCCAGCGGCAACTGGTCCTGCACCCGTGCCCGTGAGATCGGGCAGCGAGGCACTCAGTATGGCTGCGCTGAGCAGACCATGATTGCTCAAACTGCCGTCCTGCATGTGCTGGCTGGTCGAGGAGGAGTTCTTCATCTGGACGACCGTTTCCCGGATATTCTGCAGCTGGCTGAGCGTGTCCTCGAATATGTTGTTATACTTGGAAGCCATGGCCGGACTGTGCGGCGTCACATTAATGATGGGTATCATGTTGTTGTTGATAATGCTGGCGGGAGTGGAATTGGAGTTGGGAACAGGAGCAGCTGCAGCGGGCGTAGGTGCAGGAGCAGGTGCGTTTATAACGGGTATGCAGTAGTTTTGGCTTTCGATGGAGGCGCCCCGGTTGTGGGCAGAAGAACCACCACCATTGACCAGTGCTTCAGAGGATTCGGTGCAGTTGGAGTTCAGGAAATCGGTGACCACATCGTTGTCGCTGTCCTCGCCCGCGTTGTCCATATTAGGGGCTCCTGTCCTCGTTCCAAATTCCTTTGTGTTGAGCTGAGCTTCGTTGGCTGTTGTTCTATTTTGCAGTTGGCTGCCTAGAAAAAGAAAGTTTTAGTATACAACGCACACACACTCAGCAGCAACGGGTATCTGTGTACACACGTACCTACCTACATCAATACATACACAATGGGAACTAGCACTTGTGTATGCACTTGCTCTTTGCTATTTATTGATTTTCCCGCCACCCCCCGAAAACACCTTGTTGCGCGGGGTAAATTGTTGCGCCTTTTTCGAAGGACGTCACTCGTCCTTGCACCAACAACAACAACAATAATACCAGTGGAAGCAGCAGCAGCAGCAACAACAACAATAGCAGTGCGTGTACAATGGTGTGGAGAAATTGAAAACTAAACGATGGATCTGCGGGCGGGGGAGGGAGGACTTTGCGTTGCACTTAAACGAAAACTAAATTGTATCTTAAGCTAGTGAGATTTTTGCCAGCGTTTTAAAATTTAAATGCGATTCGAGATGAAGAACACACGCAGTGTGACCGTGCCTGCACTGTTAAAAGTTACCAGCGCTGCTGTTAACATAGATCAGTGCTGTAAGGTGGAAGTGGAACAATGGCGATTATCAACACTGCTTAATATTTGAATTTAAATTTGAATTTATTTACATAACAGTCAGTCGACTAAGTTTGTAATATAAACTAACGGTAAAATATTTTATAGATTTTGAATCATTATTGATAAAAATTGAATAAATTTCTTAACTGAACTAAAGGCATTCTGAAAAACTATTTATAAATTCCAAGTAAGAACATCTAGAAGGATATTTCTATTCGACGAACATTTATTAATAGTAAAATGATGGCCGTGCGATACAGTACAGGGCTACAGTTACGTTACAATTACGTTACAGTTACAATTGAATCGCAATAATGTCGCTATTAGTTAGTAAACGCTTGACTGTGCGCCTGGAATGTGCATTAGTTAGTAGGTAATATGTATTAGTATCACTCTGGTGCAACGCATATCCTTGCGGTCGTTCGATGTCCGATAGGGCTCCTGTTCCTCTAGCCCATGCTGGTGGACAGGTGCTTGTTGGAGCCAACGGATCCGGATCCCCCTCCACCTCCTCCTCCACCACCACCGGCTGGACCATCATTGGTCACGCACGTGGGAATGGCGCTGGACCATTTGCCGTTCTTGAGGCACTTGAGAACCTTGGAGCCGCGCAGATCCAATCCGGCATCGCAGGTGAAGGTGATGCTCTCGCCGATGGCGTAATAGAATTTGACAGAGGACATCCGGCCGCTGATGACGGTACCCGGATAGGAGCAAGCCTGCACGCACTTGGGCAGGCCGCCCGACCAGCGCCCATTGTCCTGGCAGGCAATGATCGGCTGGCCCTGCATCATGTACTCCGGGTTGCAATTGAACTGGACCACATCGCCGGCACGATAAGGAGCCGAGCCCTGGGCGTAACCATTTTGCGGCGCTCCGGGATTGTCGCACTGAAAAAAGAAAACGGCTGTCAAGAAGTAAATTGTGAAAAAGTAGAGTGCCTGTTACACACCTGCACCTCGACGCAGGTGGGCAGCGGCGCCGACCACTCGCCCGTGGGATTGCAGATGGCCTCCGATGGGCCGCGCAGCCCGTAGCCGGAGGAGCACGAGAAGGCCGCCCGGCCGCCCACCTCACGCGACAGCACAGAGACGCGCGGCGAGCTGGCGTTGCTGCCCATCCCCAGCGGGATGTCGCCGCACTCGACGCTCTCGCAAACCGGCAGCGGTGCGCTCCAATTGCCACTCGGCAGGCAGAACAGCTCCGAGGCGCCAATCAAGGAGTTCCCATTCGCGCAGGACAGCAGCGCCCGCGTGCTCAGCTTGGTATCGTTGGTGTTCACGATCAGGCCACGTCGCATGGGAATCTCTGGGCAGTTGATCGCTCGCACCACCACCTCCACGGCGTGCTCATGACGAGCGGGGGTCATGCAGGAGTAGAACCCGGAGTCGTCGCTGGCCGCGTCCACGATGCTCAGACGGTACTCCAAAGTCGAGTCGCGACCCTCGTCCGCTTCGGTCACCCAGCCCTCTGTGTAGTTCCTGCAATGCACGAGGATTCGTTAGATGTGGTATTTGGATGTTTTTCTAAACAATTTCCTAAGTATTCATGAACTCAATTAGATAATATCTCAAGAAATTTGAAAGACGCTTTTACTCCATCTTCTGACCAACAAAAAAAATCACATCTTAACCCTATTAACTTAAAATGTTGCAATGCTTATATTGTTTTTTAAAATCAATTAGCCCCTTATTACCAAAAACCTACTCAGAATTCATGAATGAAAATCGCAATACCATGTTCATTCAAAATTTTTAAAAATGGTTTCAAAAAAATTTGTTTAACATACCCTTATCTGCAATTGCAATTAAATAGTCAGTAAAATAAAAATGTCAAATTTTATACATCCTATATAGTATACCCAACCCGATACCCACTTGTGCGTATGACTGACGTTCCACTTGGGATTTCCAAAGCGTCGCATCCACAGACACTCCATGTGCAGAGTGGTTCCGGGATAAACGATCAGCTTGCCATCGTTGCTCTGGGCGATGGGACCGTTTTGATGTCGGAACAGGATAGTTGGAGCCTTCTCCACTGCATTTCAGGATAGTTTAGGTTACCTTATCCCAAACGGGAATGCTAGATACCTACTTGCATAGTCGTTCTCTTGGTTTAGGCCGGAGCACACGGGCTTGGTGTTGGTCCATTCCGAGTGAATGCAGGTCCTCTCATGACTACCCGTCATCGAAAATTTTCCAATGTCCATACATCTGAGATGGGGCAAATATATGTAATATTTGAAATAATAACAAAATTCTTGTCCACAGCTTACCTAGATATGATTGTGGCTCCTGGAGGAAAGTCCACAACGTCCTCACGGATCTCCAGGTCATTGTAAAAACTAACCACATTAGCTTCGTTGTTTCTGAACACACACGTTCCGTTTTCTAAGAAAATAAATATTTAAATTAAAACATTAAAAAAATATTAATTATGATTGAGCTGCTATAACTCACCACAGTTGTACGATCGTCCTATCCACAGTCCATTGTCGCAGATTATGCGCCATGTCTGCCGATCCCCGGCCGCATTTGGGATGCAGTTGAAGAAGATCTCCGTGCCGCTCTCGTAGGCGCCATCAAGCTCTGGATGCTCGGCATTCCTTCAGTGATTAAAGGACTTATAAAGGCACAAGATATAACAAGGCATTAACTTACTTGTAGACTAGGGCGCCATCTGTAAGCATGGGAGGACCACACATCTTCATATCGTCGTGCTCATCGGTGCTATTGTCATGGTGATCATGATCGTTGTCCAGTTCGTTGTGCTCCATCTTGGGATGTGGAGTGGGCGTTGCATGCTCCAGTTCCTGACGAGACTTCCTCAAGCCCGACTCGCAAGGAATACTGGGTGGTGTGAGGATGCCCTTGTGGCAGGACATCTCTATGGGATTGGCGTTCGTGGAGAGTTCACAGCGAACACTTACGCTGCTTCCATGTCCAATCGTCAATCCTGCCCGATAGCCCCCCTGGGAAATAAGGATAAGTTTTAGTTGTGATTGAGCTGTATATGAGGGATCCTTACATCGTAAATGACTCCTGGTATATTGGGCAGAGTGCATGGTACCGAAGTGCACTCGGAGAAGGCGTTTACCGACCAGGATCCGTGGGCACAACGCAGTTGAGCCGAGCCCTAGAATTTTCAGAAAGAAACTTAATGATGTAGCTCTCAGAAAAAAATATATTACCTTTTTCTTGTTGTTTAAAAGAAAAAAAGTTATCTTTTGTAATATATGTATTATATATTGTTATCAAAAAAATTGTCTTATCTTTTGATTTTACTTTTCCTCGTTCAATTAATAAAATCAAGTCAAATAAATTTAAAAAAAATAAAATTTTTAAAAAAAAATTTAAAAAAATTCCGGACATCTAAAATTCAAAATATTTTTAAGGTATACTACATTTTATACCATAATCTTGTCATAAAAAATATGAAATAGTTAATAAATTGTATTAAACACTTTTTAGTTTAGTGCTTCATAGCTTTCTTTCCCACCTGAATGTTGAACCCATCCTCGCACTCCAGGGTGATGAACTCGTTCGACTGGATCTCCTCGTAGGTGGAAAGCGGGGTAAGCGAGGGCTTATCGCTAAGCTGTTTCGTGTGGGGTTCCACCTTGTAGTACTGTCCGTGTTCCACGGCGGGCACCAAACAGGGAGCGGACAGGCACTTGGGCGTCTCCGGCTTCCAGATTCCACGGATGCAGCGTGCCGTGACATTGTCACCCTTGATGTTCAGCTTGAATCCGGCGTTGCACTCCAGATGCAGCATGATGCCTACGGCATTTCGGCCAGGAACCTTACCCGGACGCAATGTGGTCACGTTGCCAAAGGAGTCCCAGTCGAGATCTTCGCAGGGTCCTCGCAACCGCTTGCCACCGCCTCCCTTTCCGGCCTCTCCTCCATCGCTAATGTCCACTTCCGCATCCGGAAGAGTGGCCCCCGAAGGAGGTGGTGACTGTCCAATGCTGGAGCTCCTCTTGCGCCTCCGCCGCACTATCTGAGATTTCAATTGGTCCATGTAGGATCTGGTGGCATTTACGTGGAAGCTGCGCGATGCCACCGGCGGTGAGCCATTGGATAGCAAATCCTCTTTGGGAGTGCGGTTTATGTGGGCCACCTGATTACGCGATGCCTGGTTGATGTTGGGCAGCGCAACGACTCCTGTTCCTACTCCGCCTCCCAGGTAATTGTTTCCATTCTCGAATTCCCTAAAGTTGGACTTGCCCCGCATCATCACCTGCCCACCATCGTGGTGGGCATTGAGGTTGTTGCCCACTCTACCAACTGGATCCTGGACGTGAAGCTTCTGGTAGATCCGGTCATGACCCAGCATTTTCCGAACATATCGCTGGTATCGCTCCTTGATCTTTTGGTAGTATTTGGAGAAGGCTAGTGCGGCATCTGAGGGATAGGGCTGCGGATTCGGATGAGGACTTGCATTGCGCTTCACCCGGTGGACCGTTGGCTGGGCAGTATTGGCAACTAAAAGATATGGTATCTAAATATAATATATAAGACTTAGGACCTTTTTACGTACCTGCTTTGATATATTTCTCGTTATCGATTAGCTGTCTTTGAAGATCACGCTGACGGCGCAGGAGATACATGGATCTCAGCTGGCGGATCTCAAGGGAGCGACGTCTGCGGCGATTCCATCGAAGACGAGGATGCTGTCCCAGGAGACACTGCGGCAGATCCAATGGACGCCATTTGCCACCCACACACGTGGCACCCGGTGGACCAACCTATCAAAAGCCATTCACCATCATATGCTTCATAAGGATGACATTCTTTACCTCTAAGACATAACCCTTGTCGCAATCGTACATGATCTGCTTGTTATTCACGATCTTCTTCACATACGGTCGGTAGTCGTAGAGCCCCATGTTGCCCACGAGCAGGACCTTCCCGTTGGGTATGTAGCCAGGAAAGGAGCAGAAGACCTCGTCG